GTAATCGTGTATTTCCTGATAAAACAACTAGTTCGGAACACGCAAAACCATGGAAAAATATTGATGCCAAGGTAAATGTAACTTTTTTTATAATATCATTATTGTTGTAACATTAATCAAGTACAGTTAACTGGCAATATTTCATATATTCTAGCTACTATGGAAATTTTGGCATGCAAAAGATCAGTGGTTGCCAAGTTGGAATAAAAACACCGCGTTCGAAATCGATTATATTCGAGTATGGTCATTTTAAAAAAAGCAATTGCATTGTTATTAAAAAATTTATGCAAACATAAAAGAATGTTAGATAAAGTATAAATGGACATAAGTTATAACCATAAATTAATTTGTACACATCGTAAAAATATATTTTGTAAAAACATATACAAATATATTTTGTACTAATTAAATATAGCGCAATGTTTCTGTAAATAAATTATTCAAATGTATAAATATGTCCGCCTTCGTAAAGATGAACCAAATATTGCCATATCTTCAAAATGCCATCAAATTTATTATTAATCACAGTGACGTTCTTTTGAATTTGTACGAAAGAAGTAAATAAATTTATTCAAATAAATATAAAAAGAATACACTATGAGTACAAATGAAATAACGATCTAGACCAAATGCCACAATATAAATTATTGGTAAATATATATCAACGATCAAAAAAGAAAAGATAATTTAAAAGAGAAAATAAAAGTATTTAATAAATTATTAAATAAGAACACAAATTAAACGAAATTAACAGTAGCGTAGGTACGATTAGTGAAAGGATAACAATGAGTATTATGCAATTAATTAATATGATGCGTAACGATGCATTTTAACATCATGATTTTCGATAATAGCTTAACATTCACTCCGCGTACTGCGCAACAGGTTAGCGGACTAATATATTAGAGTGAGGAGAGAAGATTTGAGCATGCGTGAATAGAATTTGATTGATTTATTAAAACATAAAGTTTATACATTAACGTCTATTATATATATATAATATAATGAATATTTCGTTTTTAGGGCATCCCTATACTTTGTTAATACTTTCTTATATCTAAATGAATTTATTCCTCAAAATAATTCTTAAAGATCTAAATATCTTTTATTATGGGTTCAAAATCACCGTTCTGACTTTCCTTTGATATAGATATCTGAGAACATATGACGCGAAATTTCGAAATGTTATGCTTATTTTGTCCTTAATTAATGAAGATAATATATTTTATTAATATTCTTTTTATTAATCATGCGAAAAAATGCACGGTAATTGTTTTGAAGTGGTAAAAGAATTTCAAACTCGATCCTTCCTTCAAACCGGTTTTTCGTGAATAACATCAAGAAATAAAGAAATGAGCGAAAGAGATAGCAAGTTTCAGTTGGTTCACTACGTAGTGAGATCAAAACTAGTTAATTAATGGATTAGTTTTCATATCTTTTTATCATATTAAAATTTTAACAAAGGTGATATTTTTTTATTTTTGTTTTAAATCCTTAAAAAGTCATTTCCCTCATTGTAAATTTCATATATTTCATTTTTATATTTTTTAGAACCCTTATGCACACTATATTAAACAGTATATTAATTTTTATATTAAACTGCATATTAGTCTATTGTTCTATTCAAATGTCAAGATTAACTATTTTTCTCTTTATAACTATAATTCATTCAATTTATGGATTGGACAGTAATATGAATTTTCAATCAAAACATTCCAGTAAGTATAACAATTTACTAATATAACAAGTAATTCATTATTCCACATTAACAATATTATTAAACATATTTTTAAAAAAATAAAATACAACGAATATAACATTAAAGTATATAAAGATCATTTTCTACATTCTGTTAATACTTACATGTAAACAAAAATACTTTACCAATTGTACTTTTTTCTCCTTTAAAAATCATACAAATGTTTTTTAGAATATTTATACATTTATTCATATATCTTCTGTGTTTCCAGGATATGAATTCATTTTACGTAAGTGTATAGCAAGTGCTCAATTAAATAGGAAACACCAAAGCAAAGATATATTAAATACTACTTTAAATAAACCTATTCAAGATTTGTTATACAAGCCATCATATATTTCAATTGTAAAGCAGGAGAAGAATTCCACTTTCCAACAGGTACAAACTCTAAATTTGAAATTGAATAATAGTCATCCATTTAATAATTCTAAAATAAACCATAACAATGTGGATATGGGAAACTATTTTATGAAACATATAGAAAATACACCTTTAAGAACTTTGAATATTAAACCTATGCAAAGTTTATTGCCAATATTTACAAAAAAAGATTTGTTACCCGAATTTGAAAAAAATCACCAGTAAAACTACAAATATCCGGCAATATTATAGTTATTAAATCAGCAATATAAATGTTAAAACATCGTGATGATAATTATGTTCTGATGTAAAAGAATACATATATAAAAAAACAATATTATAGCTACTATGTTTATTGTTAATATCATTATCGAAAAAACAAAATTAATATGTCAAACACAACAAATTGTTTCATTTATTATTGTGAAGACTGAGCTTGTCGAACTGTTTCTGGTAACGTTTGCAATTCTACCTACAAAAAGTAAAAAATTGGTTACTTCTCATGTATTTAGAAATAAATAATTTAGATCATACCTTCGTAACTTTCATTGCCACACCCTCTGGTAGATTTCTCTCTATGTATTCTAAATATGTGTCTGCAGTTGAGCCAGTTAAATTAAAAAGATCAAGATATCTATAATATGTCCTTGTCTCATATTGAACTCGATGTTTCTTATGAATGTGGATAGACTTAAGTACTGTTAATCTTTCAAATACGGGTTTTCTAATTGCAACACTGTCAATTTTAAATTTATATTTTTATACTACCTTGTACATATCTTTATGAATATTTTAAAACATTTTACATTAAAACTCACTTCTTGCCAACAACTATATCTAAATGATTTGCTGCCATAACAGCAAATTCTCCATAGCTTTTGAGAACAGCAGCATCATTTCCTCTGACTTCAATTTCCAATTTCTTGTACAATTTATCAACCTAAAATGTATCGAATATTATTGCATTAGAAAATATTAAAAAACATTAAAAATATTTGATCAATTATGATTGTTTCCTACATTGTATAGATTTGAAACAGACAATTGACAATCATTTGTTTTTAATCATTAATTATATCTCATTATGATAAATATAAATATAAAACAAAATATTTAAGATTTTTTTTTACAAATGATGTCAAAATAAAGTAATCTATGTATTAATACACTTTTAACTATTCTATATAGTTATTCATGAACAAAATATATTATCATATACTTCTGTGGAAACAGATGATGTATTTCCATCTGAAGTTTCTATTAAAATCTCAGGTGCACTCCTAATTGAAGTTTTGGATTCTTTTAATTTTTCACTTAAGTTCTCAGATTCTTGCGAAGTTTTAGCTAAGCTTTCAGTTACATTTGAAATATCATTTGAATTTTCATGCAGAATAGTAGTTGAAAATAATGTATTCCGTAATAATTTTGTGTATCCAACATTATATGAACTTCTGTTTATATTGTTTATGCGTGAAAGAGAAAATATCTGAAAAATATTACAGGTTACTCTTAACCTAAATTACGCTTGAGCAAATCTTTTTAATCGTTGCACCTTTGAACGAAGCATTTGTCTCTTTTATTTATATAAAATATGAAATGAATTAATTAAAATATTATTATTTCGAATTTAATAAAATTTAGATATGAATTTAAATATTTTTCCTTTTATGTAAATACATCATAAATTCTGCACAGTAGATAACACGTGTATAAATAATGGGAATCATAAACACAGATGCACAAATAATGTAGTAGTTATATGTATGTATATGATTAAATATATGTATATTAGTGTATCTTTATATAAAATGTATACAATACATGAAAACATAAAATAATACAGTACATATTATTATGTTTTTATTTATAAAGAATAAAAATTATAAATTTTCTGTATTACATTTTTAATATTTATTATTTAATATTTACATCACTTATAATATTTAATTTAATTCTACATTTAATACTAAATTAAAAATCATTATTTACATATTTATCAATTGTTATATTCATAGGAACATTATCATGATATGATAATATTATTTCGGTATATATTTCTAATATACCACATAATAATAATGAAATTACACACCACACGCACGCGCGCGCGCGCACACACACCACACACACTTAGTATTACTGATTGTAATATTTGAATTGAAATATTTAGGTAATTATTTTACGTATACGCATCAAACAGAATTAAGTCAATTGATTTTTTTTATGTAAATGCAATTTTATTTGAAAAGTATAATATAAACTTACTTTTTACATCGTTTTTGAAGGAGATATACACAAAACACCACTGCATAGATTTTAATAATAGGACATTAAACAAGTTTTGTGTTTATTTGAAAGTTGTTACAACATACTTTTAATACTTACATTATTTCAGTAACATTTAGAATAACAAAATACCAACTACAGAGAAGTAAAATGAATGTTCATTCAAATTGATTATAGAACATGATCACCGAATAATCTTATAATATAAATTTAAATTGTTTAAATTTCAATTCTATATAAGATTGCTTATTTCATAAATCTTAAATATATATTGTATATTATTAATAAAATAAAAGAAGTATAAGTGATGCATAAAATAAAATGACATAGTGATAAGAATGTTTTAACAAATTAAATTCCGGATGATTAATATTATTGTTAAAAACAGAAATATTTTAATATGAACTCTTAAACTGAGTCAAAGAGAAAGGATGACGTTGCGATTGAAAATTCGAATTTTGAAATTTCCAAGATCCTATAGTATTCCCATTTTGCCAACTGCTAGCTGTAGATTTTTTCTCAATATCATTTTGGGAGAACCAACGTGATTCTCCAACATTTTGACTGTCACTGTTTTGCCATTGAGATTTCGTACCAAAAGACGATCCTTTATTTCGCCAATTATCTGCATTATACTTTGAAGTCCATGAATTTCCACGTTGTTGTTCACTTTCCCTTAACCACATGTTTGATGTATTAGCATTTTCAAATTTAAAACATCTTTCTTTCAAATCTGAAGTACCATCGTCACCCCATGGATCTTTTGCATCTTCCGGTAAGTCATTCAAATCTTCCTTGTCACAATGCTTCCAAGAGTCTTTGATATTTAATGATTCCCATCTATCTTG